TTGTGATCAAGAGTTAAGTGATTAAAATTCTGCAATTTTTTTTATACTTCTTTTTCTTAAGAGGAAGTGAGGCCTAAGCTACGTGGTTTCTTTGCTAGCTTTCTTACCATCCAGCCAAGCCATGGGAGAGTCACAGATAAATGAACTGTGTAGATGCATGTTTATAGATAAAGAGGCTGTGGCTCAGCATTTGTGGATTGTCATAGATCCCAGTGGCATAACTGGGAATAAAATCTTAAAATTTGTGACTGTCTTCTGTCCTGCTCCAACTGACAAGCTCACTGTTGTATGTAGATTTAAAAATGGGCTTTTCATTCTGCCCTGGTGTAAATCCCTGAGAGATGCGAGCTGTTCTAGAACCAGCAATGGAAAAAAATTACTGGTTGAGACCCTTTGTTATGAGGATATGGCAAATTAATGCACAAAATAGGATTCCTGATGCTAATTTCATGGTGATAGACTAAAGGAGTTTCCACGAGAGACAAACTTTCTAAAATACAGCTGTCTGTCCATCTTTATACATTGGGATCCTGCTCCCTGCCATATTCTCCTTCATAATAAGCTGCTGCTACCTTGTACAACCCGCTTCTGAACCAGGCATTTCCAGCCAATCCTTCCTAACTGTGCTGTTAGTTTGCTCCAGCTTTCTACCCAAGTTCTGACTGCCTCTTCTGCTTCAGATCCAGGCCTACGTGATGTGCAACAAGTTGCGCTCTGCCTATCTTGTCTCTGTGAGACAGGAGAAGAGCAGAGCAGTGCAGCTGGTCCAGCATGTGCGGCAGCTGGCTGAGAACAGCGGCGATGACGTTGTGAAGGCCATCTGTGCCCAGTGGCTCTCAGTACACCAGCCCAAGATGAGAAATCGGCTTCCCCAGGGCACTAGGAAGTGATGAGTAACTGACATTCACGATCATGCAGAAGGGGAAGGCTTCAAGACAGCCTAAAGCCCTGTGGTTCCACTGTCTCTTGGTAAGATGGAAGCCTCTTGACTGATGTTGATGGCAAATGTGTGCTGCTAATGTGCCTCTGGTGAAAGGAAGGGAAGTAAATTACAAGTGCCAGTCTTGTATTTTGACAGTCACTACCTCAGGGTATTTTTTGGCTTTATGATGGGGGGTGGGAGGGAGTGTGTTGGGGGGAGCAATTTCAAACCGAACAAGCAAGAATGTAGGTGTAATTTAGAGCAATTATGTTTCTGGCTTGGGAGTCTTTTCTGTTACGGGTTTTTTGGTTGACTTTTTTTGTTTTGAAAGGCACTGAACTTTATTCTATTTTTTTATTTTTAATCCACAAAACCTGTATAGAGAGGACAGAAAAAATCTCTTCAACTCAGTGTAGCCTCGAGCATAAAACTTCTTGTGATTATGGGTTTCCTGTAAATTTTTTCAAGATTGGAAAGATCCTTTACGGACTGAAATGCAGAGATATTTTTAAAGCCCCTGTACAAACCATTGCTTCTCTTCTCCTTGCCCCTTCCCCACCAGCTAGTATGATGTGCCTAATTTCTTTAAATTTTTTGAAAAGGCAGGAACTGATTTTTCATGGCAGGTTCCACTGTCTGATGTCTGCCGTACATATGGCACTTGAGTCCTTACTAGATGGATGAAGATATAAAGGGCCTATCCTGTAAGGGGAGTACAAAGGGAAAGTAATCCTTTAAAATAGTTGAAAAATCACATACCTCTTGCTTTCCTATGGTAAAATCAAATACATTGTTGGGATGCAGCTTTTATCACTGGCCTGCTGTCGGTAAACGTACACAGTTTTTCATCAGGTACAGCAGAAAATATGGATAGAGCAAGCTGTGGTAAAATTCAACAGGCCGTCTGTGTCCCTGCCACACAGGGATTGATTTGTTTCTTACCAGGATAATCTGTCCCTGTCGGGTACAACAGGAAACCGGAATAAATTATTAATTAAACATAGACTATGTTGATAAGCTTTGCTCTGGAAGTGTTAGGTTAACTCAGTTTTAAGAAAATGCAGGAAACTTTGGGTAATGGCTGTGTTCAGGGATGCTGAGAAAAACAGCTGCTTCTCTTCAGCTATGATTGGGAGATGAGAAATGGGTAGAGAACAGTAGGATCTTCAAAAAGAAACCACAAAACATGGCACTCCACAAGAGTTGGTGTTTGCTGTCTACATGAATTTCAGCACAAGAGGTAGGAAAACTAGTTCACTTTTTTTGTTAAGAAGTTTAGCTAGTTTGTTTACTTCAAAAGAAACAACAGGTTTCCTGAAGTGTAATAACTGTAAATATTTTTAATACATAAAAAAATTAAGACTGTCAAATAAGAGTTTTGCACTATCCCCAAGCTCACTGTGGGGACAGAACAGACTTCCATAGTATTGGAAAGGACTTGGTCCAACTTCATCATTGTTTCACAGGCAGTGCCCCACTGACACAAACACCTCTCTTGGAGGTGCTGTGCTCATTAGAGCAGGGCTAGAAATGCCTCAGAGCAAAGTGGTCAGAAATGACCACATTTAGCTTTCAAAATCTCCTGACCACAAATTTGCATTATCTCATTAGTGAGCAGTACTAATGAAAGCTGCTTTTGTTTCCTCAGCCAGACTGACCTAGCTTTCCATCAGATTACAGCCATTAGGCTAATCCTAAAATGTGATACTATCCACATTTTCAATAATTAACAAATCTGTAACTATGGGTAGGAAGTTTTACTGTTTGTGGGTATCCAGATCTGCATTCCTGTAATGCCTACTTTCCTGCTCAACCTCCTTCAGCTGTATAGAGCACAAAGAGTGGAGTTTGCCATGCAGACCTGTCAGTTCTGTACCTGCCTTTCTTCCTGACCTCTTTGCACTGTACCTGATGCACTTTATATAGCATTTGTTGTAACTTGATGTTCTTAACCTGGAATCATAGGGATCTTTCTCTTACCAGCAGAACTGAAATTTTGATCCTGACTAACTGCCTCGTGTCACAAACTGTGCAGTTATCAAGGGGCTTTGATTTTTGAGCATCAAAAAGGGATTGAGCACTGCCAGTCAAAAATAACTTATCTATTAATGACCAACGTTTGTTTACAATGGAAAAAAAAAAAGATAATAAAGTGTTATGACTGTTAATGTATCTTCTCTTTGCTTTTTATCTCTGTGTAGCTGGGGATTTTTTTTTCTAGATCTGTATTTTGGTTTTGGCTATGCTTAACAGAGCAATTAGAAAGGGGAGAACTGTTCTGGCATGCCACATCTCTCTGCTAGTGTCCCCAGCATTTAGATCAACTGGAATATGACATCTTTAGAAGACCTCCCAGGAGCTGAGCCTCAAACATGTACTCTCACAGACCAGTAATCCTCTTTAAAGAGCTTTGCGAGTTAATCTAACTCTCCCTTACAAGCCTCCCTTTGAGACAGCTAAATGAGCTTTAGTTCCTCATTTTACAGATCAATCTAGAAGGTATAAATGGCTTGCCCAAGGTCAAAAAAAGTGGGTGTGTCTATGGAAATGTGTAGTTACATGTCTCAGAGAATCTCACACACAAAGCACACCAAGCCTGTGACGCCTCGTACGGTCCTACTGCTACACAGTACTTGTGAGTTTAGCTTTGTATTCAAAATGAAGCATAACAAGGGAGGAAAAAAAGGGTAGTGATAGGGAGACACACAAAGGAACTTTTAAATGTTACCCAAACTGTGCTCTCTACATTTGTGAGGCAGGTGCAACACCCAAGTAAACCGATTCAACATTTCTGAAGGAAGATACAGTCTCCTGTTGTAAAAGGAAAATGGCTTTGCTTAGTATTGCTCAGAGGTAGCACAGGACTGATCTGCATAGGTATCATTCAGGCAGAAGGAGTTAATCATAAAACTAGCATGTTTCCCAAAAGTGGCTGTTGGCCACTGTGCATGCTCATATGCAAGTCCCAAAACATCCCCATTTTTTTAATTATTTTTTTTTTCAGAAGCAGAAGATAATCCTATGAGCTGTGGCACTTGTTTTCTAACTCCTTAACTTTTTCAGAAATAATCTCTGATGATGGATCACACTCCAGCAGCTTGCACCAGAGTTCCAAGGCAGCAGCCCCAGTTCTAGGTACATTGAGCCAGCTGCCAGAAATGTGGGCTGTATGGCACTGGAAGGCCAGGCTGGCAGCCCTGGCCACCCACACCCAGTCACAGACAAACATCATCACTTCTGTGCAAGACTGCTGTCCTGTACCTAACTAGACCATAATATCAAGACAGTCCTGACCTCTGCTTCAGCTATTAGCTCTAAGCAAATAGCTTACTGGCAAACTGCTCTAAGCAGTTTGCTGTCATTTAAAGCTGAAGTCTCAGCTGAGGTTGTTTAATGTTTTTTCACACAATTGAGATGTTCTTTACTCACTTTGCTCTCTTTCCTAGTTTTTGAAGTGATTTGAAGTGTAGCTGGCGTAGCGTGGGGTGGGTGTTACTGTGACAACTTTTACACCATCTTTGCTCAGTGCTTCACAGGAGAGTTGTTAACTTTTTTAAATAGCTTGACTATGCACAATTATAACACTGTTAAAGCTCCCAGTCACTTGCACTGAGACCTGGGTTCTCAAAAGGTATGCCAACCCTTAGTTACCTTGCTGCAGCCAATGGGCATTTGGGGACAAGATACTTCAGTGCTGGGGTCCAGCTGCTGAGGGAGAATATAAAGAAAAATAGTTTATTCCACTTTAAAATTTTACCTAATGCTTGGCACAAGAAGGCCAGCACTTGTTTCTGTGTGCTTGAGAGCATTTGTGTTGCATGTAATTACCAGAAAACCTAATACTCTAAAGTACTTTTACTGTGCCAGGTCAATAACAGGAACTGAAAATAACTTCTTAAGTTTAGAGTCCCACATTTTTATTATTGCTGTTAGGAAAAACTTTATTCAAAGGTAATTGTTACTTCATAATCTAAACCTAAGACTGCAACCTCCATTTCTATTGCAAAGACAGAGAACAGTAGCCTCTGGCTGTTGAGTGAGATACCAAGCAAAGGCTACTCCCTGCATTGGTGCTGTAATTCTCCATCTAGGCTGGTTGCTTACAAATTTCAATCCTTCAGTGTGAATTCCAGAAATTCGCATTAGACTGTGTTCATGAAACCATCATAAGGGCAGGTGAAGTGTAAGCATTCTAGTCTTCAGGTCTCTCAGCAGTGCTCTTCCCAGGAGAAGCATTGCTGGGCTCAACCAGGTACAGGGTGAGGTCTGTGCTGCTCAGTCCCACTGGATGCCAAGGAGCTCACAGCTCACATTCCAGAGCTTCTTGGCAGTCTCGTCATCCCGACCTCGTGGAGATACATAAGCTGGCCGGCAGTCGCTGCAAGAGGAACATTTTGACATCTTTGTAAGTCAGATTTCCATCTGCATTAGCACACTGAAACGTCTGTGTTAAAAGAAGGGAGTTGCTTTCTCTCAGCTTCACTTCAGACCTGTTGAAGAAGGGTGGGAGGGTATCCAGCAGCGAGCAAGGGTTCGTGCTAAGGCACCCTGAGAAAGCTTTCTTTTCAACTGGCTAGGTAAAATTTTCTCCCCATGGCACCTAGAACTAGCAAGCAAGATTAGCTCTAGCTGTTGTCTCAACTCTTCCATAAGCCTATATATGCTCTCCTATATACTCTTCGGTGTACCTTCTCATTAATAGCACTAAAAAAGGCTATAAACACTAACCGAGCTTTGTCAGGAGCACCTTTTCTAGCAAACAGAACAAAAAAAAGCCCCTCAAACAGCCCTTCGTTCTGAGCTATTTACACCATCCCATTCACTGCACTATATTGCCATTGCATGAAAGACAAAGCCGCCCCAGAATAATAATACGGTAATATCCATGTATGGGTATCCCTCTTTCCATTAACCTCTGAACTGTGGCTCCTTTCTTCTCAGCTCCTGCAATCAGAGAGCACTCTGGAACAGAGATCAGGTGTTCTCATCTGTAATGCTTAATGCTGCAGTAACACAGGAGTTGTAAGAGAACAGAGGAGACCGCATCCCGTAGGGTTTCTATCTGGCCTAGTGTTTTCAGAGCTCCAGGTGCACAGTCTCTGATGTTCCTGAAATTACTGTGGTGGACTCCACCTGTCTTGCCATGGCATGGAAATTCTTTTCTTCCTATCTATACTTGCGCTTTGTATTCTGTTGCCTGCAAAGTGAGAAGGATTTTCAGCTAGTCCAATGTAAACTATGAATTACAGTTGAAGCTGTTGATTTCTCACCAAGTTCAAAACTCCCTTCTTTCCCAAATTTAAAATCCGCCAAAATTTTCTGTATTCAACACGTAAATGCTCCATTTATATTCTGGGACAGACAGTCATCCAGGGAAGATTAAGACCTCTATTTATATATTCAAGTCTGATTAAGACAGCACAAACTCCCAAGTGAAGATCAAAGTCATTACAGAGACTAATCTGGTCACGTATCACAAGAGGAAAGCTCTGCAAAGATGCAAAGGCTCAAACAGTATCCATGTGAAAAAAAGAAAAGGAAAAATTTTCATGTTAATTTCCCAAAACCCCGTATTGTTGCACTGCTCTACACCTGGTGAAAAGCTGAGAGGCACATCTTTGTGGCTCTGTTCAAATAAGAGTCTGCAAATCTAGCAGGATGATGACTTGGGACTGCTCTGGGCTGTACTTTTGGTGAGGGGAAAAGGCATGACTATGCAGGGTCCTGCAGTAAGTCAAAGAAGTCAAGGAACAGCAGGGTCTGTAGTGGGAGCTACACAAGACAGGCTGCAGGACAGAGCACTAGGCATCCCCCCAGGAGTCCTTCCCAGGTGGTGGGTCTGTCACACTGGAGATTCAAGTTATTTCATCACTGGCCGGGCCTGAAAATCTCACTTCCTAGCTCTGCAAAACCATCAGTCCTCCTGGCTCCCTGGGAGCACAGGCTCCTTCTGCTCCAGTGAGGCAAAACTACAAAGAGAACCAAAGTGGGCTTTCAAGGACTGACTTAAGTGACCTCATTAACTACACAGCTCTACTGAAAAGTGATTTGTCCGAGGCTCAGGCAGATCAGGATTAGAGCTGTGAGCACACGATGGCCACACCTGCGCTGCGGGTACAGCAATATTCCTGGCACGAAAGGATCTGGTGTTATGTGAAGTGTTACACAGGTCAAGGATTTTTTCTAACGCAATATCCACGACAGACCTGTAATGCTCTAGTATTTGTCACCCTCAGTCCTACCAACCAGGCTCTTACCCAGTCTCTTCCTAATGAAGAATGACAGCAAGCCTCATCTTACCTAGCCAACAAGGTTGCCTTCCACAGTGTATCATTCCATCAGCTTGCACCCACCTGAAATACTGTCCTGTTACAGACTCTAGCTCCTCTGCTACTGCACAGTAGATACTTGTTTGAGCTCCTTCCCAAGGTGTCTTCAAGAAAAATGAGAATATTTTCCACAGCCACGTCATCACAAGCGAGTGCCGGACCAGCTCAGAATGGACAGAACCAGGATGGAGAGCGTTTGCTGTGACTTTAGTGCCTATGAAAAAGAAAGTAGTTCAGGACAAATCTGCATGCATCAAACTGCTCTTAAAAAAAAAGGGTAATACACTCCTCAGTTCTACCTACAAACATTCTACAACTTAAAGGAGGAGTCCAGGCATGGGTATAGGGAGATTAAGTGAGTTCTCTACAGTTACTTCTTTGTAGAGCCTCCTTTGCTTCCTTCCAAATGCTGCAGCAACAACATGCCTTCTGCAAAACAATGTGTTCAAGGGTCTGGCTGCTAAAACAGCAGCAGCTTTCATCAGGCTTTTGAGAACACCAGCTTCTTTTGATTTACTGTAATACTAATTTCTTAGGGAACATACTGCTGCTGTTTTAGTAAAATAAATACTGCTTAAGTTTATTAAAAGCACTGAATGACACGGTTGTGACTGAAGAGGTACTGTCTAGTTCTATGCTTCTGTTCTACAGGCCGTCAACATTTAAGGCAGAGTTTGCATGAACATTTCTGTTGGAGACAAGCACCAAAGAAAAATATGTTCAACTGTGCCAGGCTACTGAACTCCTCTACCCTGTTGTTGTAAAGACAATTAGCATTTAAAGTCTCCTGATTCCACAAATGAGACTTATTTTCTTTCTGCAGAGTCTGTGGCTCTGCATAGAGCCATTTCATTTTTGCCTAGCTGATTTCCAAACTTTTCTTCGCTCTACTCTCCTCATCCATGTGCTGAAAAGCCAAGCAGAAAACCACCAGGCTCTCCTGGGACTTGCCTTGCAGGCGCCTCGCCAGCTCCCGGGTGAAGAGCACGTTGGCCAGCTTGCTGTGGCAGTAGGCGAGGCCACGGTTGTAGCTCTTCTCACCGTGCAGGTCATGGAAGCGGATTCGGCCCCCGTGATGAGCCAGCGAGGACACGTTCACTATGCGGGCTGGGGCAGACTGCTTCAGCCTTTCCAGCAGGAGGAAGGTCAAGAGGAAGTGACCTAGGGTGAGAGGAAATGTCACCCTTCTCAGAAGGGCTTCCCGTGCTGGAATTTCAAAGTACTTACATATTACTTACATGTTATATTTTACTGCTGCCCTCGTTTCAAGCTGAGGGAAAAGAATACGGCCTCCTCCCTCCCCCAAATCATCAGCTGTACTTTTTTTGGGTGACTAAGTTATGCTCCTCAGCTCCAAAAAGCTGGAGCTGTCATACATTTCACATGTCCCAGGTAACATGTACGGACACATAAAACTGTGCCCATGATAAGCAAATACATTGCATGACACTTCCAGAACTCTGACTCTGCCCCTCTATCCTTTCCCAAGAAGGGAGGATAAGGAACAGAAAATCTGCAAGCAGGACTTTCCTCTGCCATTTTTCCACAGATGTTGAATGCAAACGTGACTCCAGTGTCCTTACCAAGATGATTGACTCCCAGGTGCATCTCAAAGCCATCAGCTGTCTTGGAGTAAGGACATAACATTACACCAGCATTATTAATGAGAATATGGAGTTCCTTCTCCTCTGCAAGAAACAACAGACATCCTTAAACAGGGAAAGGGAAACTGAAGACAGACAAGAACGTGGCCCAAATCAACCAAAAAAACCCGAGTCTATCCGAGTGGCAGGCACATCCCCCCAGGATAAGTCTCCTACCACAAACTAACTCGTGGGCTCTGACAAGCCCCTGCTGGGAACCGCAGTCCCCACACGGCACAGAGATCTGCAGATGAAGGATCTCTCATTTGCTAGAAAAGCAGACACCAGTCCTTGGTAAATATTCTCACTGAAAAGAAAAGACTTCGAGACTGTACCTGCCAGAAATTTCTCAGCGAACTCCCGGATGGACTTGGTATCAGCCAAGTCCAGCTTCTTCACAATGATCTGCTGGTTCCCTGTCTCAGCTCGGATCTCCCTGGCTGCCGCTTCTGCCTTCGCTGTGTCTCTGCAAGCAACGATCACCCTGGCACCTGCACGGGGGGAAGAAGCAGCAACAGAAGCTGAGATCACTGGAGCACACTGGCTGATCAAGGCTATGACAAGCAGGCTGATGACACACAGAGCTTACAAACAACATATTGTTCTTTTAGGGAACTAGCATCAGTCAGGGGAGCAGCTGGGAGGGACAAAACCTTTCCTACTGTGCCCTTAGCTCCGGCCCTGCCCAAAGCTGTTCTCAGATCATGAAAATGCACATCTGTTCAGGCTCTCCCAGGTCAGGAGTGTGTACCACAACAAGGGTAGGACAGAGTTATATCTGTCCCTATAACGGGAATCTCGGGTCAGGAGCCCATGAAGGCACTTTCATTCCAGCTAGAGTAATTTTGAAACAGATTGTGAACAGGTAGTTTCATCTCCTTACCTGTTACCCAAAAAGCATTTAAACCAAATTAGCCTGACACAAAACACTAAAGCACACAGCAGTGGACCTGTGGTGTTCCCCAGTTTCAAACAAGCAGAACTCGACACCACCATGAACTTCCTCAGTCCTCTCAAACCAGCTGGATTGCAGAGCATTTTCCTGTCACAAGGCACATGTTTCTGGAGTTAAAGCAATGAAACCAGCTGAGGAGCTGGGGGACTTGCACCTCAGTGGTTACAGCCTCTGGAGGAGCAGCAACACTTGGGACTCATTTCAGATAACTCTGGACTCCAGCTGACTGAGAGGGAAGCACAGAAGGCTCCTCGCTGGATGCAGGAGCGGAGCTGCTGACGCGCGGCACACGCGGCGCTGGGTAAGGCCAGACTTGCCTCTTCGCGCGAGGTCCCTGGCTGTCTCCTTCCCGATGCCGGTGTTGGCTCCCGTGATTATCACCACCTTCCCCTCCAGCTTGGCCGCCGACTTGCACTGCCCTCCGGCCACGAACCTCCTGCGGGACAGCGCGGGGGCAGTGGCGGGAGGAGGCGCAGGGACAGCCTCCGTCCCGGGGGAGCCCGGCCGCGGGCTCTGCGCCCGCATCGCCGGCTCCTG